GAGAGCAGGCGTTGCCTAATCACACGGTCTGGTACGCTCCTATTCCTCTACACTGTCTCAGAACACCAGCGACCGGTGCCGATCGATACCCTTCTAGGCTGCGTTTCCGTCTACAACATTGGAACGCTGTTGCAATGGTAGTGCGTCGACGCGCGTCATCGCGAAGTCTGAACGCTGGCTTAGCTTTACACGAGTTCAAGGTATTCACAAGGTGGTCTGGACAAGCAAGCCGAAAAGCATTTCAGAGCTTCACAAAAATTACAAGCTTCGACATTGATCGGAAGGAGCAAAATGTCCCCTCTAAGCCAACGGAGCTGAAATCGAAAGGGTTCCTAAGAACTCACGATAGCCTGTCTGCTCGGTATGATCCGTTTACGTCGCCATACACGTTTCTTCAACTCGCCTATAGTTTCAAATAGTCGAACTCGTTCCGACCAACGTTCACCAGTTACCGATTCTATCCAAACATCAACTGGAGCTAGGCTCATCATACCCGATCACATTCGATTAAAAGTAACCTAGAAAACTCGATAAATAGTAATAGTAATGGGGGCAGCCATCAAATCGATCACAGATTCAAAAATACGATGACGTAAAAACAACGTCACGAACACCTACAGGAAACAAAGAGATTAAAAAAATCTTTATTAACAGCAACAATACGTTGTTAGAAACCTCCGGGCCGCATTCAGACTTCGCGATGACGCGCGTCGACGCGCTTCACCGAGAAGTCTGAACGGCCTCCTTTTTCATTTCTCTCTATACATGCACTTTTCTATCACAATGTTATCATCAGTTGTAACTCGTAAAAGCACAAGTAAATCAATGCACTGGTCAAATAATAAAACAAAGCCGTTAATTGTAGAAATCACTGGTATAATCACTGGTACAATCAACACTTAAATTGTACTGATAAAAAACCGGTCAGTATTCACTGCTGAAATGGACCCTTGAAAAAATAATATTGGCGCCTGCTACATGTCGCCTACGCTTTACCAACCAGTGGGTGCCCTTGACGGGATGAAGTGAATACAAAGGAAAGAACTGTTGTACAATAAAATCGTAGCGATATGAGTCATACCGTAAGGGATAAAAATCATAAAAGAAACATATTTGAGCAACAAAACTCAACATACTGAAAGCTACTTCTCATTACTAACAAGTCGACTACACAACTGCCCTAAAGCGGCTTCTCTCCAAGCAAACCTCAAAAATTCAATTACACTTAACCATCTAAAACGGGACCAAATTGAAAAGATCTCTACTCTTGAAAGATATTCATTCTTACAATTTTTTACATATTGCTGAGAGGACAGATCTGAGAGCAGCCTAGTAGAATTCCGGATCGGTTTCTGACTCTGCTGAATTCTTCCGTCCAAGTGAATGTTGGCCTAAAAACTTTAAATTATACTTCTTCGAATATCCTACCGTATACAATTCGCTAGGTTTGTCTGTTGGTGTGTGGTTTGAATTCATAAGTTCCTTCAGCTCAGTCGTAGAGAGCTCAAATCGATAAGCGATGTAAGAGGTCAGCCGGGAACAATGGGAGGATTACTCACATACGCGAAATGGCTCGCGTCAAAGCAGCGCTGGAACATCGGTTCCAAGAACTGGTATATTGGGCTGGACGTGAACATCATTGGGTGGCAGGAGGTGATTACATCCGACAAGAGCTTACAAGGAGCTTCAAAAGGAGAGGGTCACCAATTCTTAAATCGCGTCACAGGAACAGTGGAACGTCGGTTCCAAGAAGTAATACGGGAGGCTTATCACTGATGGGTGGCAAGGAGGTGATAGCAGCTGATAAGGGGCCTTTAAGGGGGAGGACCACCAAATTCATAACTCACAGCCATGGACTGAACCATGCGCGCGTCAGCCAAGCTGGTTGATGAATAAAGTTCAATGGTTGAGTTATCGTCAATGATCAATTCCTTCTTGAGATGCAGCACGCATTTTTTTGTTCAGAATCCAAGTGATATTTTGAACAAAAAAAATACGTTCTGCATCTCAAGAAGGAATGATCATTGACGATAACTCGACCATTGAACTCAATTCATCGACCAGCTTGGCTGACGCGCACTTCTGCACGCATGGTTCAGTCCGTAGTTTTGACACGAGCTATGAATAAAAAAGTAATGAATATATATGAATATGAATTTGAATAAAGTACGATTCACAGAATGACTTGCGAGACCAGTCGCGGTGCAAATATGCGTTTTTATCCTTCCAGAGCCAGTGCCCAGAGTGAAGGAGGCTTGGTTGGCTTTGCAGGGAGCAGATCCGGAACTACACCTTTATTTCATTGACAGCGTTATCAACACTTCACCAGTCTAGCTGCTTCATTTCGAGAAAATAGCCGACGAAGTGAGCCATTCCTCTATATCTTTGTCTTCTAACTTCGCAAGGATTTTTTTTTTGCAGCAGCACACAAGGACGGATCGTCTCTCTCACTCCTTCAGTATAAACTCATTTTCAGAAAGTGGTTGAAGAAGCCAATATTAGCGGTGCAACGCACCGACTTTTTTGAGCAGAAACGGTCGAATGCACTCAATGAATCGTGCAATAATGTGTAGATTTAGTAGCAGCGTAATGTAATGCAGTCGACGCAACCACCGGAAAATGAAGTCCTAACTTCTTATGAATACTAGTAGGTGTCAAAACAAGATATACAGCCTTACATATTACACCATCGATGCGAGAATTCGGTAAGGGTACCGCATCTAGCCGCTGTGAAGAAAAACCGTATTTAGTCGTCGTAGTTGTACAGCTGCCAATGCTGATGATTAGTTCCGGTAGTTGATTAATGACCCCCCGGTCCCAAGCCAGTTTTTGGGAAAAATGGAAGGTTTTCTGAAAAATTGGTAGGGAGCACATTTAACGTGGAGGGGTCTCTTGGTTTGGCAGTGCCGTTTTGAGAGAGTTGCAATCATGTTTTTGTTCAGCATAGGACGAGATAACAGTTGCCCTAAATGCAGATATCCCACGAACAACGCACATACACCTTTTCAAAGACAGCCCCCGCGCTTAATCCAGCCCCCAAGCTAAGAGAGTGTCCACCTCTTGCAACTCTATAGCGAGCGAAAAGCGTGCTACAGCCGCTGAAAGTTCTAGTTCTAACGCCCCTCAGTTGGACCGCCCACTTGCTAGATGCCATCTGATGGAGGGCCGCTCATTTCTTCTCCGTTGGAGGGAGGCCATTAATCAAAGTTCCATGTCCTTTTTGCTAACCGCCTCGTGCCCATAAGCAATTCTATTCCACTTTATCACATTTTATTCATTAGAGCACATACAGTCAACTGCAACCCACTCCTAAGTAAAACGCGTAAAAATCACGAGTGATGCAATTTTCTTGGTGCAAAAGCTCGACGCACTGAAGATGCACGCTACCAGTAACCCTAAAATCGTACGCTTCGTATTCTTTTCTTTGCATTGGATGATATCTACTACTGGGAGATGCGAAAAGCGATTTGTGAGCCAGGGGTTGCACAGAGACCGCAGGGCGGTGTGACTGTCAGGGAGCGCGTTTATAGTGTTCTTGAGGACTCTTCTTGCTTTTTTCTTCTTTGGGGAATTACTTATCAGCTACTGTTTCATAACTGAACAGCAACTATCCATGACACTTTTATCGCGGGATCTGTCTCCAAAACAACCACGCCTCCCCCAACTCCGAGATATGGACTGTAGACTACCAATCCCCAGCGTGTGATCCACAATGTACGGCGTGCCCTGTGGGTTTGACTGACCATCATATTTGATCGATAGAGCGCCGTACTAGAGGAGGAACTTCGAACGGTCGATTGGAGGGGAGTGTACTTTGCCAAAATTTCCGCAACAGCAAAACGTGCCTTCTTTACCCATCTCCTCAGAATAAACTGTACCTTCCGAGGAAACCTGTTCAAAGTAAGCGATCGCGCTCGAGTGGAAAGTTGGGAGTTTCCTTGACGTCGAAAAAAGAACATATTAGCCTCTATAATATGTTCCACAACGAGAGAAACGGAGGCCCAATCTATGCTAAAATAGCCTAAACCTGCTCGTATACTAAGGGAAGAACGATTACTTTCTCTTGACTGCTGCAGTATTTGAGGGTATATAAGGGGAATCAGAATCAAAACACGTGTATACCCATCTTTCACACGACAAACATTATTCATGAACATTCTTGTCCTCTCTACACTAGTTGCTTCGGCTTGCATCACGTTAGCTAGCAGTAGGTTACCCAATCATTGAAATTTGGAACCTTCAGAATTTTCACTATGAGACGCTAAATCTTTAAGTTCCAGGGCCCTGGGGTTACGGTTACGGTTATGGCGATAGTGGGCACGATTATCATGATCACGATCATGATCACTCATATGACAAAGGCTACATAAAAGGATTCGATCGAAAGGCTTTCGGTGAATTTGGTAGTCACAAGTATGGCGGATGGGGAAGTTATGCCAAAGGAGAAGAGCGCGGATCATTCTACGGTAGTTTCAGCGATTCAATTCTATATTGAAGTTTCAGAAATGTATCTCCAGGATCTGAATACGATAATGATAACGGCCACGGAGGATATGGCGATGAGCATCATGGCCGCGGTTTCAAGTACGGTCATGGGCCATTTCATCATGATCATGGTGACCATTTCTTTGGACACGGCATGCCGAATGGGTATAACAAAGGTAATCACAATACATATCACATCAGTTATTCTGGTCCCTACAGGATGCGCATGAGAGCAAGTATAGCGTGTAGCCGGGCTGAATGTGTTGCGGGTATGTGACAAGAGAATCGTAAGTCGCCGCGCTGGTAGGCGTGGCCGGCAATGCTGCCTGCCATGCGGCAGAATGATAGTTCGCAGCCGTGTATACACTGTGCTAACGTCAACTCTTTTCTCTGGCAAAAGTACCTGAACAGGCGATATCATAATAGGAAGCTTAGCCTTGTTCCCCTTGCAGAATATCAGCAGCGCCCTTTACCATGCGACTTGCCGCACGCGACGGCGCGGCGATTTATGATTGTCCTGACCGTCTCCATTGAGAGTTAAGATTCGAATTCTAACCAGAGTAAGGACTACTGCCCATAACCCAGCATACTTGTAATAATGATAACCAAGATAATAACAGAGGCACTTACTTTTACCTTTGCTGATGAGTATAACTACGATCGCAGTTTAGCAACGGGGGGGGGGCATTTTGCACCTTTTTTGCTCCCCTATTCTGGGTTGCACACCTGTGAAGCTGGAGCAAGGTCATCGAGCCAGAATGGTGAAACCTGTCAACTCAAAAGGCTCTCTAGATGGGTCGACACGTCGATGGGAAGTAGCAAAAGTGCAAAATACCCCCCCCCCCGGTCGCTGAGGTGCGCCTTAACTATGCAATGATCTTATTAATTTCAGGATATGTACATTTCTTCTAACGGACGTATCAGTCACTCATGTTTTCTTGGTCCAAGGCTATGGCTATATAATATCACAAACAAAAAAAAATTGAATGAATTGCTTTCGATTCCA